TGCTCTTAGTAAAGTTTGTCTATTTTGCCTAATACCTGTTCTGCTAATTTTATATTCTATGCGCCGTTTACCTACAGGTCGTGGGCGATAGTGGCTCTCAAAATCTACCTGTCTTTTGTTGCTGTTAGTAAGGTTTGTCTATTTTGCCTAATACCTGTTCTGCTAATTTTATATTGTATGCGCCGTGTACCTACCGGACGTGGGCGATAGTGGCTCTCCAAAACTACCTGTCTTTTGTTGCTCTTAGTAAAGTTTGTCTATTTTGCCTAATACCTGTTCTGCTAATTTTATATTCTATGCGCCGTTTACCTACAGGTCGTGGGCGATAGTGGCTCTCAAAATCTACCTGTCTTTTGTTGCTGTTAGTAAGGTTTGTCTATTTTGCCTAATACCTGTTCTGCTAATTTTATATTCTATGCGCCGTTTACCTACCGGACGTGGGCGATAGTGGCTCTCCACAACTAGCTGTTTTTTGTTGCTCTTAGTAAAATTTGTCTATTTTGCCTAATACCTGTTCTGCTAATTTTATATTCTATGCGCCGTTGACCTTCAGGTCGTGGGCGATAGTGGCTCTCCAAATCTACCTGTCTTTTGTTGCTGTTAGTAAGGTTTGTCTATTTTGCCTAATACCTGTTCTGCTAATTTTATATTGTATGCGCCGTGTACCTACCGGACGTGGGCGATAGTGGCTCTCCAAAACTACCTGTCTTTTGTTGCTCTTAGTAAAATTTGTCTATTTTGCCTGTTCTGCTAATTTTATATTCTATGCGCCGTTGACCTTCAGGTCGTGGGCGATAGTGGCTCTCAAATCTACCTGTCTTTTGTTGCTCTTAGTAAAGTTTGTCTATTTTGCCTAATACCTGTTCTGCTAATTTTATATTCTATGCGCCGTGTACCTACCGGACGTGGGCGATAGTGGCTCTCCAAATCTACTTGTCTTTTTTTGCTCTGAGTAAAGTTTGTCTATTTTGCCTAATACCTGTCCTGCCAATTTTATATTCTATGCGCCGTTTACCTACCGGACGTGGGCGATAGTCTCAAAACTAGCTGTTTTTTTTGCTCTTAGTAAAGTTTGTCTGTTTTGCCTAATACCTGTTCTGTCTATGCGCCGTGCTCTCCAATTTTATATTTGTCTATTTTGCCTTATACCTGTCCGTTTACCTTTACCTACCGGACGTGGGCGATAGTGGCTCTCCAAAACTACCTGTCCTGCCAATTTTATATTCTATGCGCCGTTTACCTACCGGAAGTGGGCGATAGTGGCTCTCCAAAACTACCTGTCCTGCCAATTTTATATTCTATGCGCCGTTTACCTCCCGGAATTGGGCGATAGTGGCTCTCCAAAACTACCTGTCTTTTGTTGCTCTTAGTAAAGTTTGTCTATTTTGCCTAATACCTGTTCTGCTAATTTTATATTCTATGCGCCGTTTACCTACCGGACGTGGGCGATAGTGGCTCTCCACAACTACCTGTCTTTTGTTGCTGTTAGTAAGGTTTGTCTATTTTGCCTAATACCTGTTCTGCTAATTTTATATTGTATGCGCCGTGTACCTACCGGACGTGGGCGATAGTGGCTCTCCAAAACTACCTGTCTTTTGTTGCTCTTAGTAAGGTTTGTCTATTTTGCCTAATACCTGTTCTGCTAATTTTATATTCTATGCGCCGTTGACCTTCAGGTCGTGGGCGATAGTGGCTCTCCAAAACTACCTGTCTTTTGTTGCTCTTAGTAAAGTTTGTCTTTTTTGTTATCCCTACTGATCTCTATTCTGCCAGCCATCTACACAATTTATCCACCCTTCCTTCTCTTCCTCCTCCTCTTCCTCCTCCTCTTCCCCCTTCTTCTCTTCTTTCTTCTTCTTTTCTTCTTCTTCTTCTTCTTCTTCTTCTATGTGTCGTATTCCTTTATAACTTGGTTGGTTATAACTCTCCACATTTTCTCTAGATAATTTTTTGGTCCTCCTCCTCTCTCTCAATTCTTGTGCCAACCATTTGGAAAACCTCGTTCGGTTGTTACTGAACTGTTTCCCTCTGTTCGTCTTGCGTTCATTATGTCCCTTGAGTGAATTTATTAACAGAAAGAAAGTAGGGCTTATTTTCGTGGTGTCATCAATGAATATAATTTGCCATGTCTTTTCAAATACCACAATTTCAATCAAAGTTATATATCGAGTTTAATATTAAACAAGAAAAGATATTGGTTATGCGGATAAAGTCAAATTCGATCTCCATTTGATATTGTTCAATAATAGTTTCAAACTATTATTTTTTTAGTGCCAGACCATCTGAGGCTAACCTTAAGGTCAGATGTTAGACAAAATATTAATGTCGATTTTGATTGGCTGAGCTGAACGTGAGTATGTTAGAATTATAAAATGTTTTCAGGGGTTTCGTTTTACACGTCGAAGTGATCAGACGGGGTTATTTCGTGTCTCGGGGAATTTGCTCCCCAGTGGGTGTGGTAGAGCGACCCCACTGGACTAGTTAAACGTGTACACGTCACATGTCTAATAAAGTAGTAAGTCAAAATCCATTTTTGTTGAAGTTCTCATTTTACCTCCGAACAATAACTAGCAATCACCTGGACGGAATATGACAGAAAGAAGAAAGCAACATATGAGTGAATCAAAACCGTCAGGTAAGAGAACCCCAACACAAAGTGGGGAATACAACACTATAAATCTATCGTGTTCCGCCATTGAACGAACGGGCATTTTTTTTTCATTTTAAACCAAGCAATGTAACGTTACATGTTTACACAGTATATCTATTAGAATTTATCATATGAATTTTTGGAACCTAGTCTCTTTCTAGCATTTATGTACGGGTTACTTTGCTGATTATTTGGATGATGTAGTTTGGATGTTTTCAAGGGATTCTGCTCTAATATCGTATGATTCACTATTTACATTATTCGGACTGTTGTCCTCATGTTTGTCGCCATATTTATTACAACGTTTCGGCCGTGGTATGCTCCGGCCTTCTTCAGGTGGTTGGAATGTCGAACTGAACCCTTTATTTCGCTCAGTGGGGTAGGCTGTAGAGCGTACAACGTCCGAAACATTGTAATAAATATGGCGACAAACATGAGGACAATAGTACGAATAATGTAAATAGTGTAAATAATACCTCATCTCAGAAATATAGACAGATACTGAAAAGCCGAAACGTTGTAAGAAATATGGCGACAAAGATGAGGACAATAGTCCGAATAATGTAAATAATGTACATAATACCTCATCCCAGAAATATAGACAGATACTGAAAGACCGAAACGTTGTAATAAATATGGCGACAAAGATGAGAACAATAGTCCGAATAATGTAAATAGTTTCCATAATACCCCATCTCAGAAATATAGACAGATACTGTCTTATGATTAATCTTCATCATTGAGAGAATCTGAATTAATGCAATCATTTATCTCGCAGCTAGATTCTTCCATTTTCTTTCCTGAAAGATCATTATTTCATATCTCATTTATTTTAGTTTGTATCTCATAAACTGTCATATCATAATTTTCTACTCTTGCCTCATTTTCGTTTGGGTTATGACTGATTGTACTTAGTCTTATATTTAGTTTTATCTTATCTATTTGTGTATTTGAGAGAATTTAATTTCGCCTGATATCCCTGCGGACATTGGCAAGTATATTTGGGTTTAGATAGGGTCTTATTTTAGTTCCATAGCATATCTCTTCATATTCGGTATGCCTGATCGGTAATGTTCTTTTCTCGATATGCGAGTGCACTAAAAAACGATGCAATAACTTGTTTAAACTCTTCACGGTTCCATTTCTCTCGCTTTTTTTTATTAATTGATTTGGCATTAAGTTAAAAGGCCCAATGTTGGAGTTAATCCGATTTTCGTGACCAGGTGTCTCATTGTTGGTGGAAAAGTTTGTTCCAGTGACAATCTGAATCAGTAAAATTGTTTATATCGCACTTAAATCATTCTGTTTTATTTCCTGCGAGATCCTTATTTCATATCTCATTAATTTTAGTTTTAATCACATTTTCTGTCATATCATAATTTTCTACTCTTGCCACATTTTTGTTTGGTATGTCTTTTTGTACTTTGTCTTATATTTAGTTTTGCTTGATCTTTTTCTTCATTTGAGAGTCTTTTATATGACATGATGTCTCTGCTGACATTGGCAAGTATATTTGGGTCGAGATAGAGTTGTTAATTATAGTTTCACACTATTATTTTTTAGTGGCAGTGTATTTGGCTCAGACCTTCTGAAGTTGACCAGATGGTACACAAAATAGGGATGTGGATTTTGATTGGCTGAGACGAACGTGGGAATGTTAGATTTAGAAATTGTTTTCGAGCAGTTAAGATTTGCATGTCGAACAATATGGACGTGTTAAAATCGTGTCTCGAAGCTTGCTCCCCAGTTGGGTGGGGTAGCGACCCCATTGGCCAGTTAGAAGCTGTACACGTCGATATGTTTAATAAAATAGATAAGTTTAAAATTCCTTTTGTTGATATTCTCGTTTCACCCCTGAACAACTAGAGATCACCCGACCGGAGGATGGCCAAGAAGAATGTAACATATGAGTGAATAAAAACTGCCATCTAAAAGACCCCCAGTTCGAAGGGGGCTATACAACAATATACTGAGATATGAATTGAGGAGACAATTGACAAATTAACTTGAAAAAATTAAGATACAAGATCTCATCTAGCAGAGAGAGTGACGTGAGAATCATCATTTCCTGTGAATTGAATAAAGAGCTCATTTCAAAATTCCCATAAGCTTACCAACTCGAAGAGACAGCTGAAAAAGTCCGGGTGGTAATCCAGTGGAAAGCTTATGGCGTTAACAAGCAAGATAAGGACACGTGTCCAAATAAAGCGGTATATAATGATAATAATTCCTCACCCGCAAAAGTTCAGACAAGGATCGTTTGTCTTCCTCCCCGAAACCGCTACACTCTTTGAAAAGAACGGACAATGTTTGCTCAGGAAAGGTTTGGATCCCGATGGAAAACAGGCAAATGATTCATAATGGTCTGTCAACCAAAACTGTAGATACGCCCGCAACTCAAACGCTCTCGGTGTCGCTGGAAACAATAGACACAACAGAGATGCTTTCAGATGAGACACCAGTTGGGCGAGGACGATCAGTACAGGCCGTGTTTCTACGCTCGTCGCATACGTGATAGCCGACGCATTTTTATCAAAAGACACATCCGTAGTTTGATGCGCAAACTGAGAATAATAACAGTAATAATGATAATATTAATAAAGATGTTTCTTTTATTTCTTTACGATTTACTTTTTCGTTTTGTGATATTGACTGCTTTATTGTTAGAGATATCTTTCTTTTGCTAATGACATTTGGTTTTGTCGGCCATCCTGTATCAAATTGTTTCTAACACTTTCTTTTCTTTTTTTCTTTCTTTCTTTCTTTCTTTCTTTCTTTCTTTCTTTGTTTCTTTCTTTTTTCCTTCCTTGCTTCTTTCCTTCCTTCCGTGCTTTGTCATCATAGGTTCTTCCAAGTTATTTTTCTCTCCGTAACTTCGTTCGATTTGTCTTTCTCTTTTAATCTCACCCTCTTTCTGAATCTTTTTCTTCTTTCTTCTTACTTTATTTCTTTTTTTATGTTTTCTTACTTTCTTTACTCTGTGTTTCTTTTTATTTTCTTCGTTCGTTCATTCCTTCCTTCGTTCCTTCCTTTGTTTCCTTGCTCCTTCCAACATATTTATCTCTCCGTAACATGTTCGCTTGTCTTTCTCTTCTCCTCTCACTCCCTTTCTGAAACTTTTTCTTTCTTTCTTTCTTTCTTTCTTTCTTTCTTTCTTTCTTTCTTTCTTTCTTTCTTTCTTACATTCCTTCCTTAATTAGTTCCTTCCTTCTTTCTTTCCTTCCTTTGTCTCTTATCTTCTTCCAACATATTTTTCTCTCCGTAACTTTGCTTGTCTCTCTCTTTTTCTCTTACCCTCTTTCTGATTCTTTCTTTCTTTCTTTCTTTCTTTCTTTCTTTCTTTCTTTCTTTCTTTCTTTCTTTTATGTTTTCTAACTTTCTTTCCTTTGTCTTTCTTTCTTTTTTCCTTCCTTCCTTCCTTCCTTCCTTCCTTCCTTCCTTCCTTCCTTCCTTCCTTTGTCTCATATCTCCTTCCAACATATTTCTCTCTCCGTAACTGTGTTCGCTTGTCTCTCTTTTCTTTCTTTCTTTCTTTCTTTCTTTCTTTCTTTTCGTATATAATCATTTTTATGCAAGTGTTCCCTGAGACATGAAAATTATTTCAAGTGTGACACCAAGGTAAAAATTTTGGGAAAATTGATGATGACATCGAAGAATCAAATGATGTTACTTTATCCTCCTTAACTGAAACAATTTCGAGAATCTGTCGACGAGAAAAGATCTTCCTGTGCGTAGACGATCCTGAACTGAAAAGACTGATACGAGAAAGAAACGCAGAGATGCGAAAGGTACAAATAAAATATCTAAGAAAGAAAGAATGAAAGAAAGAGAGAGAAAAAGAAAGAAAGAAAGAAGAAATATTCATAAAAGTGAGAGGTGAAGAGGGGCAGATAGAAACGTAGTCGTAACTAAAAATAAAATTGAGAGGTAAAAGAAGGCGATAATGCTCCTAAGATTAAAGGCTCTACTGGAAATAAAAAATGAATTAAAATACTTTAAAAGGAACCGGAAACCCAATCCTAAACAAGGAACAAGAGATAAACCTTTACATCTGTACAAAAACCGGAGAGACTATTAAGAAAATCATATATAAACATTATTTATATATATATATATTAGTAAATAAAATTTCATAGTTTAGGCGGAGACGTTAGAAGTATAGAGATGAAGTTGTTATGTAAATTCACGAATGTGTCCGCAATTTCCTAGTATTCTGTAGATAAAACATCAACAGTAACATTATCCGTTCCTGAAGCTATTTTAAAGGAATCAAAACTAAAGCAGACACTTTCGTATCTCTATCTCTGAATTTCGTTATTTTTACTTGTTTAGAATTGAAAATTAATTATACTGAAATCCAAAGTGGCATTGGGATAATGAAAGATACCTTCCAAAAGATAGAAACAAAGAAAAGATTACAGAACTGTTATGTAATATCAGTCCTCCTATATGGCAGTGAATACTGGACAAACTCCTCACAGATGAAGTAACTTGAAGCAACAGAAACAAAGAAATAAATACTGAACTGTTATGTAATATCAGTCCTCCTATATGGCAGTGAATGCTGGACAATCTCCTCACAGATGAAGAAGTGACTTGAAGCAAGAGAAACAAAGAAAAGTTTAAAGAACTGTTATGTAATATCAGTCCTCATATATGTCAGTGAATGCTGGACAATCTCCTCACAGATGAAGAAGTGACTTGAAGCAAGAGAAACAAAGAAAAGATTAAAGAACTGTTATGTAATATCAGTCCTCATATATGTCAGTGAATGCTGGACAATCTCCTCACAGATGAAGAAGTGACTTGAAGCAACAGAAACAAAGAAAAGATTAAAGAACTCTTATGTGATATCAATCCTACTATATGGCAGTGAATACATATTAGACTTTTTTTTCAATTATTCGATTAAGTTATAATGTCTGGTGTTTGTTGGTGATTTCTTCAATGTTTTGTCGATTTTGCGATAAACAGACCCTAATTTCTTTTTCAGTTGGATGTAGTCATTCTTGCTTCTTATTTTTGATGTTATTTAGCTTTGAGAAACCTAATTCACATAAGTTGAAAATTGCAATAAAATTGATAAAACCTTTTAAACTAATATGGGATATTCCTTCAGTATTGAAATCCAGAATGTATTGCCAGGTACCGTCGATCTTTTTGATGGATACCGAATCGAAAATAACTTAATCGAATAACAGTAAAAAGAATTATTTGAAAAAAAATGTCTAATACTTATTTATTTACTCAAATACCAATGCTGTACGATTACTACTTCCATACACATCCCGGGTGTAACAGCAAAATTCTCCAAATCGTGTTAGAGCAAAATTGTCCAATTGTTAGATTAAACTTTGAACTGTTATATTTTAGAAATGATTAAAGATATCTTACTGGAATTCAACGAGGTTTTTTTTATAATTATTGGACTCTAGTTTGAACAATAAGTATGTATTTAGCTTTAAGTTGAAAGGATGATCCCTCTTCCTGTTGTGACCTCCTGATCTCTTAATGTTTCATGAATGTTCTTTGAAAATGAAAGCCAGAGTATGAATGTTGGTACCATTACTAAAGGCCTGAATGATCTTTTTTACTCTGGCCATTGCTCATTTGATAAGACAATGGGTTGACACAAAGTGATTTTAACCTGTTCTCTTTCCAGCTGATTAACACAAAGGGTTTTTCACTGATTCTTACAACAAATGGTGTCAAGATGGCTAATTGTCTTATCTGAGAACCTGGAAAAAAGCAACTCAATTAGTTAAGTGGTTTTTTAGATATTAAACATTTTTGTAGGATGGACAATTATGTTGTTACTCGATTTGGAAAATTTTACTGTTACACCCGGTAAATATGTATGCCATGACAATATTTCACGGCATACTTAAGAGGATCGTGCTGAACATTAGCGTGCGGCGGCACACTAGGGTGTCACGACACACTAGATACAAATTAGAGACATGTCATAATAGATCATTCCATCGTAAATAAATCAACAATATTTTGTGGCAATTTTTAACATCCATTTGGAATTTTTCTTTTTATAAAATTCAATAATCTTAACACATTCAACATGAATAAAAAATAGTAAATATTATATAGTGTTTTTTTTTTTCCGAGACTTAGCAGATGCAAAATAAATTCACGGAAAAAAATGACCTCAGAATGACGTCAAAATCCGCAAAAACGTTTCATCTTTTAATTGTAAGTCGTGCTTACTTTAATTTGTAACGTATATAAATGTAGGTAGAAAAAAAGCAAATGTTGATAAGATAACGATGGTTAGAAAGTACTACCCGGGGCTTCCAATCAGGCTTTCACCTAACGGGGGTTCCGGAGTAGTACGCACCGGCATTTTCCTTGAAACATAAAAAGAGAATAGCATATTATCATTGGATCGGAACTTCTTTTATGTGAAATTCAATTAAAATATTTAGATATGTGAACATAGCTTTATTCAAATAGATATGGGCTCAAAACAAAATAGCCCATATGTGTTTGAATAAAGCTATGTTCACATATCTAAATATTTTAATTGAATTTCACATAAAAAAAGCTACGAAACACTTGTTCCGATCCAATGATACTATGCTGTCTTCTGAGACAATGACATCTTTCTGGGTCTCTAGGAGGTTTTCTATAGACTTCCAGAGAATTGAAGGTTTTCCCATGAAATAAAGTTTCTGGAAATAAACGTGATAATCGGAATCTGCAGGGACAGTTGTAACGGCCGTATAGTCGGACATCAAGGTGACACTTTACCAATATCTGCCTAGTCTGAAAAGAGACGTGAGGTATAGCGCTGTCCTGATGGAAGCCAAAGCTTTTCCGATTGACCAATTGCGACCCTTAATTGCCCAATTACGAACAGTATATGTCCGAATTCAACGTTCGATTTTGTAGATTGAGGTCGTAATACGCAATGTCCATCCACTCCCACCAGATTCAGTATATTGCATTTCGCAGACTGACTTTTCATTTTACCTAGCACCTTAGTTATTCCACATTCTTGTAAACAATCCATTTTTCATCGCTTCTGACCGTTGTTTTCAAAAATTGGTCCTTCCTTTGCGTTTGAGCAGAGAATCGCCTCGTCCTGGGTATGACGATAAACTACACTGTGTCCTGGGTAAGACGATAAACTACACCGTCTCCTGGGTAAGACGATAAACTACGTCCAACAGCAAGGCCTCAGATCAGGAGGTTTTGAGAAGCGTAGAACCACCTCTTAATTGATGGTGTTCCCAGGTCCACCCTGACCCGGGGTGGCAGCACCTGTTAGGGACCCAGCTATGGTCAAATAGTTAACACCAAAACCGAAGTAAAAAGCATTATGAAAGTGTGAAAATGGGTTTTAATACCAGCAATAATTCTTTGGATGGGAAATTATTACCAGCAATACATTTTTGAAGGAAAAAAATATTACCAACAATATATTTTTGAAGGAAAAAATATTACCAGCAATATATTTTTGTAAATTATTATTACCAGCAATACATTATTACCAGCAATACATTATTACCAGCAATACATTTTTGAAGGAAAAATATTATCAGTAATACATTTTTGAAGGAAAAATATTATTAGTAATACATTTTGAAGAAAAAAAATATTAGCAGCAATACGTTTCTGGAAAAAATATTACCAGCAATAAAAAAAAACATGTCGGCATTAAATAATCCATTGAGGTTGATAAACCGTAAAACAAAACAAAACAACCTATAGAATCGCCTTTGAAAATACGGTTCATTAAATGTTTGTTTCTCTAAATCGTGAGACATCGAAACATCGTAGCGATCCATGTCTTCAAGTATTTACAAATTCCATACAAGGATTATAGGAAATATGAGAATTATATCTCATGTTATGTGACATGCATTATTTTTAATCGGCGTTTCCATAGTTCAGGGTATGACAATAAACTACATCCGGCAGCAAGATCTCTAATCGGGAGTTTGGGACTTTTAAGGAGTGTGGAACCACCTCTTAATTGATGCTGTTCCCAGATTCACCCTGAGGGGTAGCACCTGTTAGGGTCCTAGCTATGGTCACTCCCCCACAAACAAAAGCAAAACACTATGAAAATATAAAAGTACCAGCGATCCTTTTTTTTCTTTACAAAAATTACCAACAATACCTATTTATAGTAAAATGAGCAACTATATATTTTATCTGTATTTGAATGTATATAATTGCATTCATTTAGATTTCGGCCTTAAAAAAACCCACAGAGGTTGATATGCCGCTAAAAAGTCAACCGACAAGAAAGGATTCTTTAATAACATTAATCCATATAATATCCTTCAATTTCTCCAATCAAACTGTATTCCAAAATATAATTTCAACAAAACTACAACATAAAACACGTATCATCG